TCCCGATTGTCTTAAAGCAATATTTCCAAGCTTCAGACTTCAGAAAACCAGAGGATCATTTCTGGGTAAATGTTATGTTATGCTATGTTCAATAAAGCTCCACAAAATGTAATTGACCTACCCATAAATCAATTTAAAATTTTTTTTGGACGACTCAAAAGTGCTTGTAATAAGCCTATTTGAATAAAGATATTTTCATTTCAATATAATAATGACCGTGCAATGTGATAAATAATTAATTTTAAATATAAATTAATCACTTAGCCCGATAGAGACATTATTCATAATGCTCATACATTATTATTAATGCCCGCATCAATCACCTGATCCCTAATATATATACTGATTATTTTTTCAAAGGTAATCACATTTTATAATAGTTTTAGTGGACTTGCGAATGACTGTGATAAGTTTAGTCAATGATTAAAAAAATATATACCGAAAAGTGTTTCTATTGTAAAATCACCTATTTATATTAATTTCAAAACCTTTTTTCAAAAAATAGAACAACTGAGGTTTTCTGTTGGTTATGAATTAAATGATAGGCCTCGACTTCAATAGCATTTTTTTTAATAAGTAAGTAGCTTTTGAGATAAATATTATTGATCACTTTGTGAAAGTTTGAAGTTGGTTCTATTTTTTTTTAAAGTTTTTATTTCATGTTTTTTAATGATATTGATGTCAATACATAGTATAAAACAAAGTCGCTTTCCGTCATTTGTTCCTATGTAGGTATGGTTAGATCTTTAAAACAACGCAACGAATTTTAATGTGGGTTTTTTTTTTAATAGAAAGGGTTATTCAAAAGAATGTTTATTACGTGGGCGAATAAGTTATTGGCGGAAAGGTCTTTTTTTATATAATAGCTAACACTAAAAATATTAAATATAAAAATATTCAACATAGTGAGTTTATGAAAAGTAGATTTTGTTTATTTGTTTGACATAATTTTTTCCAACAATTCTATACTCATATTATAAAGAGGAAAGATTTGATTGCTTGTTTGTTTGCATTTGAACTTTCGGTCTTGCTCTCAGCTTAACATATTTTAAAATACTATGTATTGTTTACCGAAATGTGTCAGCCTGACATATCATTAAGGGCTTCATTTTGGCAGGCTTATTAAGGGTGCACCTGCTTTATTCTCTAGCCAATGAAAATGACATTTTAGCAAATACCTATATTATGACTATATTTGTTTCATTTTACTACTTTGAATTTTGACATGTCTTTTGGTGGATTAATTTGGGATAAATGTCCAAGCTGGAAAAACTTCTGCATTATTGTTTGTCATTCGTCATTAAAGTATATATCAAAGTAGTAAAATGAAACAAAATAGCGCTATAACGTCGCCAAGTATGTATCCTACGGCTGGAGACACTGCCAGCCGCCCGGGGAAAATTTTGCTTGCCTTTTGTCTAGGTATTTCAATTTAATTTATACAATATATACCTACATTATTTTTTGGAACTTTTCAGCAAGAGCAATTAAAAATCATTTTGCATTAAATTAGAATTTAAATAAAAAATGTCAATGAATGTTTTACAGTATGACGATCACGTTAATAAAAAAAATCTTATACGTCAACTATAATTAAAACAGATAGGACAATATCACTAATAATTAAACTTTGAAGAAACATCAGAATTAAAACATTCCTATTAATACTTGTATTTTTATTGAAACTCATAACACTCATATCTTGCCGTTCTCACTACGGTTTGCCACTGGTTAAAGAGTTGCTCTGCGGAACTGAAATAGTCCCGTTAATAACGTTACATTAGCAATCAGTGATTATTACAGTTAATTTATTAGTGTAGATTGTTTTGCAAACAGGATATTATATTATCTTTTTTTTTATAATTAATAAAACAGATAGTGTAGGGTGCGGTTAATATCATAAATTAATTATATAACATACAATCAATTCACAACATTTAATTTATTACGTAATTTATTGGGTACGTAATTAAGTATATTAAACTTACTGACATAAAAACTTGAGCTTACGAGGAACTTCAAAAAGTTATGTTGTCCCAAGGGCCTATTGTTTCTCTGTTAAAAAAAGTTGGACAAAAATAATCATAAAAATAGTTTCACTGTTGTTAAGGAAAGAATATCCTGGAACATAGATATAATAAAATCGGCCAAGTGCGAATCGGACTCGCGAACAAAGGTTTCCGAATAACGTTTATTGTTTTCTATGGAGATGTTCGAAATTTTCGAACAAATAAAATTGGTCGACTATTACTCTGAAACTTGTAAAGACAACTTAAGTGTAATAGTTTTCCTTTTAACTTCGTTATATAAGTAGTACTACTTCCGTAACGTTTGAATTTTAACCAATAACCGTTTAGTTGGTAGAGAGGGGCAATTGAGTGTAATGAAAATTAGCTCTTTAAAGCTTAATAAGTCACAAAGGGTTTACTAAATCGAAAAATAGCCTTCCCGCACCCTCAATGTTTTTGAAAGACCTATCTAACGAGGCCCTACGCTATGGGGAAATCGAAAAAAAATTGTCATCCCCACTTTACATGTAGGGGAGATACCCTAAAAAATATTTATTCGAAATTTTACTTTACCACTTTGACGGCGTAATTAACATGAATACTTATGCCAAATTACAACTTTGTTTGTTGTGTTTTTGAGCTAAACCGCGGACGGACGGACGGACGGACACGGCAGAATTATGAGGGTTCCTTGTTTACTACGAAACCCTAAAAATCATTGAGTACACATTTAAATTTCATACAGTCGAATCATAAGAATATTTACAACCGATATAGAGGTCGATTGAAACAATGTGTTCGTTCAAGAGCTAGGGCCTACGTACATTTCACAACAACCGTCATCTTCGGTTATGATAATGGTGTAGCACCTACTCCTACATCATAATCATAACATTAACTTGACATTTAAATTTCATTCAGTCGAATTATAAGAATATTTACAATCGATATAGAGGCTGATGGAAACAAGGTGTTCGTTCAAGACTTAGGGCCTACGTTCATTTCACAACAACCGCCATCTTCGGTTATGATTATGATTTAGGAGTAGGACCGATCAAAAAGAGTACATAATTGTAACTTTATTTATTTTTTCACAATCAATTTGATGTTAGTTGTTCGTATTAGATGTCCTTTTAATAACCTTGAATGATAGTATCGCTGGTCAATACAGACAATAACAGACATTATAGATAAATATAAAAAATAAACAAAAATGCTAACTGTTTATTAAATACGAGGAAATATTTGTGGTGTTGATGGATAGCTAATTATCTTCTCAATTACGTAGGCACTGATTTAAGTACAAGCTTTTAATATATACCTACATTTATAATTAAAATAATAATAAATAAAGTATGCAGCAGTGGAGAAGCCAAAGCTGGACTTGCTCCAAGTGTTATTAGCTTTGTAATGTTTAGGGCTACACCACCAATATCTCCTGATGGTACTGTTGGCAATAATTGCCATAACAGTTATTGATGAAATGAAATTTTAGACTGGCAAGCAGAGGATTCATAATAAGTGATTTACTATTGACTTATACCTTGGAAAAAACTGAAAAAAAAAACAAAGAAAATATCAATAACATAGCATAACTGCTATGTTATTGATATTTTCTTATTCTACACGGTCTTCTATAATGTCATTGACATTGTCGGTGAAGCTATCAATTTACAGATAGACAAAGACTTTTATGTAATTACCGAGTGGAGAATCAAAGTACAAGACCATTTGTGTACATAATCAAGTCCGACATTGGATAGCCGATATCTGAAAATGTTTTTGAGCCAGAGAGGAAAATGTCTTATCTTTTATAGTCATTGCCAGATTGCCGCCAACTGGTTGTTTCTTTACTAAATCTTTGAGATGTTGATATGAGATTCTAGTAACTAGATACTTTTATTAAAATGTCTGAAAATGGACGAACGATTGCGCAAGCTTCCTGTATATAATTAATCAGAGATACGAATGATTTTTGTGTTTTAAATTTAATGTAACAAATGCTAGTCAATTTAGTGTGAAATTAATCGATTTTTGAAGTATACTTTTCTTTTTAATCCGCGTACATACATTACGGCGATTCATTTTTATGTATATATAGGTTATGACACAGTTCTTATTACTATATCACATAATCTGTCACCGATCTGTCACCATTGATTTGTGAGGAATACTTTGTACTTACTAATAATATTGGACTTCAGGTAGATAGCACAATGGCAAAATGAAGGTAGTTGAGACTCTTATTGAGATGCGATTATTTATTAACTTATTACATCTTTATTGCACAAATAAAAATGTACAAATGGCGGACTTAATGCCATGAGGCATTCTCTACCAGTCCACCGGAGAGTTGTGGCAGAGACCTTAAAAGAAGGCGGTGCAACAATGAAACAGAAAGACAAACAATTTCAATGGGAAAAATAAAATTACAAACTATTATTACGTAAAAATTAGGAGAATTGAAGCCCGCTATGCCGCTGCGTGCCTACTGTGTCAAGCCTCACGGTGTGGGCGTGAAAATAGTTTTTCGTATAAACGCAACCGTTCTGTTTGTATTGATGAACAGGGGGCCAATTCTACTAAATAAATTTTGTTCAAATCGAATCGAAAATTTATTTAGTAGAATTGGCCTCCAGAATGTTACCACATGGGGCACTTTTCCATTCCATACTTAATTATAACTTAACGCGTTCACGATCGAATGTGACATAAACGTCACTTTTAGGCACTCTGCGTACAAACTTTTAATTCATTTTTGATGTTACGGCTTCATCGAAATTTAAATCAAATATCTATGCCATATCAAAAGTAGTATTTTTCAGTAACAAGGTCATATTCGAACATGTAATAATGAATATTACGAGTAGATATACTATTAATCGGACATTACAGTATTGTGATATTGAGTTGTCTGTTGATATATCAACTATTATTGGTGTTAAATAAAGACAATAACTAATTTTAACTAACATTTTATTATTAGTTTCCAAAGTAGGCTCCTATTTGGCACTTTAATGCTATATTTGTGGGGTCACATGTACTGCTTCCATGCTTTTGCTAAGGTCACAGTGCTGTGTTTGGTCATCCGCTTCGCTTGTAGCTTTGCTTAAGATCTCGTAGTGAGCAGCTTCTTCCTTGGCAGGGCTTGTTTCGTCTAAAGTGTACCTGTCATGAAATAAAACAGGAAGAGTTCGTATTAGATAATAATTATAAGTCGTTCTGTAACTATGGTGTATAAAGAAATGTCATTGAAACTGTTTCTATGCTTATTTTTTTTAGTTATTTTAAAAAGAAAAAGATTTGGTATAATAACTATATTTTAAACAATTTTATTGTTAAATATTTTATTTTATCCACGAATATTCTTCTATAAGGATATATTTACGAGTAAATACTAAACAAACTTTTCAACTCTAAATTTACTCTCAACGAGTCATAAGTTTTATTTAAATTTTCACTACCATCTACTTTACTACAGTTGTATGATAGATAACACTCAACTAAATTTTTCTATTAATTTTTAACAAATAAGCAGACTTTAAACACCGACCGGCGTTTTCCAAGAAGAATCACTATTTCAACACAGCAAATCACTTTAGAGTAACTATCTCGATACGCCACAATACAAAAGTTACTATCTAAATACCGTCAATGGTTTAATTTATTAAAATTCTAATTATAATAATTATTTTACACTATAATTATGCACTTGTGAATTTAGACAGTAGCTAAAGGAAGATAGAAATCAAGGTCAATTGTATACGGAACGTTATTTTTCGGATTTGATTTTTTTTTACCGAAACATTGTTTATTATTTATTCATCATCATCAGCCCTTTTACATCCCCATTGCAGGGGCTCGGGCCTGCCTTATGGATGATTTATATTTTAGTCTGTTATTTGGGTAAATGTCTGATGATCTTTTATTACATGACGTTATGAGCGACAAAGAGAATCGTTTAATTATATAGCGAAAGTAGGTCTATGTATATGTCTGTCACTCTCTCACACCTAAACCTCTAAGCCCAGTTGATTTGAGATAAGACATAGGTTACTTTTTATTGTGATAAAAGTGTTGAAAATTTATATTCAGGTTATTTACATGTCAAAGTGAATAAATATTGTAACTATACAATGCGGACGAAGTCGCGGGCAAAAGCTAGTATGGTTAATAAATATAATTTATTATTATTATATTTGATAAATTTTGCATTAACAATGCTATAATGAAAAATATTCTAAATTAAAAATACTTAAGAAATCATGTTTATTTTTAATCAATCTTTAATCTTATTAAATTTTAATGAATGAATAAATTAATTATCTGAACTTACCCGCAAGCTCTGAAGAATGCAGCAGCAGAAGGGTTATGAGTTAGTGCGGTGAGGCGCACGTAGCGCATGGATGTACCGTGCGCAAGTGTCTCCAAGATGTTGAGCACCCGCTGTCCGAGCCCACGCCGTCTGCCCTCCTCTTCGACCTGCACTTCGTAACTGTAGACAAAACACGATTTTCTGAAGGCTAATATTTGTTTATAGCATATCGTTCATAAAAACGATTGGTATTAGAAATGTGCAATTTAGCATGAGTATACACGTTAATAACGCCGAAGAAGTGGTAAAATAAACTCTAAAAAATGTTTTATTTCAGTTACCTCCCCTAGATTATATAAAGTGGGGGATCGTTCGGTGGTCTCTCAAAAAATTTATGGGTGCGACAATAAACGTAATTTTTTTTGCGTCTTTTATAATGATACATATGGGACATTTATAATGGGACCCTTCGTGCACAAGTCCGACTTGCGCTTGCTCGACATTTTATATTAATGAAGAATAGGGAATATGCGTCTGGTTCAAAAAAAGGCTAAATATATTTTATTACAATCGTTATTGCTTTAGAATAAAGTCTATCTAAATATTTTTCAATATTAGTTCGTTTTCGTCTTGAAAATAATTATTAAAATGTGCAAAAAAATGCGGTAACTTCAAAATATTTAAACGCCATGCTACTTGTCAGAGCGGATGTGTCGAAAATGTATACGTATAGGGATGTCGTTCTCACAAAAAGTTAACATCGATGCAAAAACATCAATGTATTATGTCGCAAAATAAACAACTGATTACAATTTAAATGATGTTTTAGCCTTTTATTTTTATTTCACCAATTAAGTAAATTATATGATTTATTACAAAAGTCTATTATACTTTAAACAATCGATTAGTTGTTAATTGATTTAGGTAATTGAATAATAAATCTATCACTCAAAATCCATATTGATTTAAAATGTCATATCTCTAGTCGTGTACTTTGACGTCACGACCAGCGCGACAAAAATTCCGGTGTTTAAACTGCTCGTAGCTATTAGTTATTTTCATCAATTATTAATGTTACAAAATTTTTGTTTTTCGGTGCCGGGTATTTTTTTACAGTCATATATCGATGTAAAATCATATAAAACCATTTTCCAAAAATGTGCATATTCCATATTATTCATCAGACGACAAAATAATATATAGGTGACGACTATTAACGAGATACTTTAATACTTAACCGAGGGGCGTTAAATGATGTTTGCGAAAAACAAACTAACCGATAATTATGAATGACTAAAAATCATTAAACACTTGAAATGAGTTATTAATAAGGAGTAGGAGTAAGTTTTATCTAAAATAGTAACTGGAATTCAAAGTATCAGATTTAAATAATAAATTGGACGAAAAAATACTGAGTGGACGTAACTAGATACCGACAAATTATGAGATGGCAGAATATCCGTTGACAATGTGTAATTTGGCGTCACGCACTAAAATCTATGAAATGCTGAATAGAGAAAGCAAGAACAAGCTGACCGTCAAGTTGCAATGAAAATCAGTGGTAGAATCTTACACAAGTAAAACATCAGGCTGTTTTAAGCCTTTATCTGAAAGTCCAGAATAAGAACAGTTTGGAACATAAAAAATCAGCTACAGCTGTATTCACATAAAAGTATGTTTTATAAATCCTAAAGATATTGTTACGAATAAAATTTATTACATAGATCTTATATCTCATTCCTACTTCACGGTTGACCTTAATTTTTTCTCTAACTATCCCTGACGATATTACATTCCTGTATTTAACCACCTTGATCATACAATACATTAATGAAATTCTGAACATACGACAGTACAACGTCTAGATTATGAAGTGCATTTTATCTTTTGTCGGTTTTACGGTTTGTATACCTCAACAGCGTGCATTGCCTCATATTCTTATAAAAAAATATATTTTTGTTGCTGACGAATACATCGTCATAGCATAAACGGATAAGTGTACGGATAAGATTCGTTCGATACCGACAAATTAAGAGATGGCAGAATATCCGTTGACAATGTGTAATTAGGCGTCACGCACTAAAATCTATGAAATGCTGAATAGAGAAAGCAAGAACAAGCTGACCGTCAAGTTGCAATGAAAATCAGTGGTAGAATCTTACACAAGTAAAACATCAGGCTGTTTTAAGCCTTTATCTGAAAGTCCAGAATAAGAACAGTTTGGAACATAAAAAATCAGCTACAGCTGTATTCACATAAAAGTATGTTTTATAAATCCTAAAGATATTGTTACGAATAAAATTTATTACATAGATCTTATATCTCATTCCTACTTCACGGTTGACCTTAATTTTTTCTCTAACTATCCCTAACGATATTACATTCCTGTATTTAACCACCTTGATCATACAATACATTAATGAAATTCTGAACAAACGACAGTACAACGTCTAGATTATGAAGTGCATTTTATCTTTTGTCGGTTTTACGGTTTGTATGCCTCAACAGCGTGCATTGCCTCATATTCTTATAAAAAAATATATTTTTGTTGCTGACGAATACATCGTCATAGCATAAACGGATAAGTGTTCCCTTGTATAATTTACAACGATAATAAATACATTAAATTGATAAACTACTACATAACTAAGTGAAAACAATTCAAAGATAAACGTTGTTAAGACGATTTCAGAAGTTTTGGTAGTAATTTATGTGATGCACTGTATTTTTCCGACCGTTCTTCCATTTGATTTTCAATACCTCTACGGGTTTTTGAAATATTTAAGTGTGAAAAACTGAGTCTTTTCGAAAAAGGGAAATTCACATCAAATGATTTTGTTAACCAACTTCAAAATCCAAAAGGAGGAGGATATATGTTCGACGGCGATGTATATATATTTTTTTAATGTTACAGTAAATGAATGACTTTTTCTTCCCGGGGGCGGATCCAGAACTCAAAAGAGGTTGGTATATAACAGAGTATAATAGTTACAACTATCCGAAAACAGGCCAAGTGCGCGTCGCAATACGAAATCCTGTTCAAAATAGTGCATTACTGCAAAGGGGATGTTTGAAAATATATTTCACAGTGATCTAGAATTGCTGCAGTGTTGTTATATATTCTCACTATGAAAGATATCTTACAAGTTGTGCACAACCTATAAGTGAAAAAAATACTGGAGAAATCAACCATGATTGAAGCCCGCGAAAAGTAAAAGGTAGAAGGGCTAGCACGTTTGACGCATGTGGATTCCATAAGTGCAGCGCACGAAATAGAAGAAGAGTACATATATCTGTTTAGTTTGCTACAGTTTTTTTCTTAGCTTTTAAAAGATACAAAATTTAAACTTATTACTGCATTTCTGTTTTGAACCTATCCCTGTTCATGGTCTACAACGAGCAACGTCGCAGAACTATAAGTATTTACAAATAGCAAATTCCTAGAAGCAATTGTTCAATCACAACAAAACAGTTACAGTTAATGCTGGGTAAATAGGTTTTTTATTTAGTTTCACTTTTTGCAGACTTGTGATAACATCTCAGAAATACTAACAAAGTGAAATGTATTTGATTGATCACAATATAACGCTTGGCATTACTAGCTCTAATAAAACAGATCTTTGCTTGAAATACATCTTTAGTCTCAAGTAGGTAAGTCCTAAGTAAAATAATACATTTCTATATAAAAAATTAAAATGGATTTCACCATCGATATGATTAGCAAGAAATAAAAAATTATATGAAATTATATGATCTTGCTCCACTTTTTCAAAAATGGCATCCATTTTATCCGTAACAGGGTGACTGGAGTGACGCGCATATTTGACAGCAAAATTGCCGGACTGAAAACACTTAAACCAAATTTAGGGTACTCTCACAGAAACCGCAATAGGTCCATAAACGTCACATTTTTTTTGCTGCTTGCGTTCCATTTTTAGCTTTTTTGTAATAAAACTTTAAATGTATGTATGTATTTATAATGTATTTTAACAGTTCGAAAAACAAATGAAAAACACACATTTTCCTAATTTGAATTCGGAGTCATCTTCTTTAAATTGTAAACTTTAAAGCTAGATACAAATAGCCAGAAAGATGTTATTACAAGTTTATGCATAGTATATGCGAAAAGATTTTTTCCGCAACCTAATATTAACAAAGAAGGGGCGCAGACCTTCTCTGTTAGTAAAATTACGTAAGAAAAATGGGATATAACTCATTGAGAAGTTGGAGACAATTTTATGGTCACCCATCCGTCGATTAACCCTTGCGAAATTTTTTCGCCTCCTAACCTCTACGATCGCAGGCCGAATATGTAGATACACATAAGGAATAAATTATAAAGCTAAAGTTTCATGTTTTTCTTAAGCATTGTGCCTACTTCGAAGGAAAACTAAAATTATGTCAGTGTCACAAATATGTGTACTCAATATAAATAATAGATACAGAAACGATGCACATATTATAAAATATTATGCCTAGAATAAATTCCGTTCTATATATTACGTCCGATATGCATCGCTTAGCAACCTCAGTTTGTTATGTCATTCTCAATAAATTATGGAAATAGTAACTTAATATTAGTTACGTGTATTATTTAATATAAAATAAATTGGCGATGAGAACTTGCTACAGCAATAGAAATGAGAAAAATAGAAAACAATAGAATGTCTTTCGATAATGAAAAACGTTCAGACTACATCCATAAAATTTCTAGTAACAGACCGAAGGTTTTACAAACAAATTCTTTACAAAATGCAAATATAAGAAGACCTATTACAATAAATGACATTAGAGGAAAATGCTTCAGATGCGGAAAATCTAACCACCGTGCTAATGAATGTGGAGCGATAAAAACCAAATGTCGTAAATGCCAAAAGGAAGGTCATTTATCTAGAGTATGTCTCCAACGAACAAACACAAATCAAGTAACTGATTCCTTAAGCGACATCAGCGAAGATGAAATTGCAAATATAAATCTGATAAAAAGTGAAATTTCAGAGAGGTACATGATCACTAGAGGTACGGCAAAATTCCAAATTACAAAGTACACCTAAGTCTGAAAGAGAACTTTCAACCTATATTCATAAAGCCACGTAGATTACCTTATGCGTTAAAACCGAAGGTTGATGAAGAAATTGAACGTATCTGCAAAATCGGTGTAATAACCAAAATAGATCACT